ATGCTACTGTATATCAAACTGATTAATATCTAATGATCCAAAAAAAAAAACTATAGGTATTAGGATTGCCAGGATTCCATGAGGCTCAAGGTCTTAGGTCAAGGTTCAATCCTAACACCAGGGAACACAATTCACAGAGAAAAAAGGGGAAGTGACAATATTCAAGAGATGCAGTAACAATAGAATAAGAAAACAGGAATGCAGGGGGTTTAGGAATGTTTCACCAAGCTAGTTGGAACAACCAACACCAAGAAGAAGGGATTGGGGACTCTGTAGAGCACCTAGTTGGCACTCCCCAAGAACAGATTCCTCAAGTTCACCAAGAACTAGTCACAGGCCGAGTCAATAATCAGCCCTCGCTAGCAAGAAGTCCAAGCTCCAAGCACAATTCACCAAGAATCGAGTTCCCACACAAGAAACACAAAACAGAGAGAGGAATTAGTAGACAAAACAGAAAAGGGTGAAAAATTAGGGTTTTGTTAATCTACTCGATTTTAGGGCATCAACTAGAAATCAATTTTCCAGTGACAAACCATCAATCGAATATTCAATCACGCCTTACTAACTCTCCGATACCACTTGTAAGGAAATATATGAACAACAGAAGCACAAATTAGAAATTAATAGCACAATATCGAAAACCAGTTCACCAAGTTACATAGGGCTCAAAAACAAATTCATTGTACCCTTTGTACACAAGAACAGCCTCAAACCACACCAAGCACCCTAATCACGCTACCACATAGCTACTCAATGAGACAAAGGAAATAACCACACTGCTAACAACAGAAAGCTATCTCCTCAGACCACGAGGGCACACAATCACCAAGACTAGAGATTAAAACCAAGAGTTTTAATCATACACTAAGTATTACATAGAGAGGAAGGAAGAATCACGAAGAAACTGAAGACTAAAGGAACCCAAAAGTTTCACAGAGAAACTAAGAGAACACGAATGAGGAAATTAGGGCTCAAAGAGCGGTTCAGCTGGTATAAATAGCCCAAGCCATCACCCTTGATTTAATCTCCATCCAACGGTCAGAGCAACTCCAATTGGTAGTGATTTTGGGCCGGGTATTTTGGGCCAGTCCTTGTGTGTTATCGGGCAATTTTTTCCTCAAAAAACTTTCCAACAGTTGGGCTTAGCCCATTTCATCATTGCCCCCAAAGTGTTAAGAAGTAAATGTCACAAATGGCATCAAATTCGAACATAAAATAACGAGGCTCATAGAATTAAAGACATAGCATAAAGAAGCGGTGAGATCTTACTAGCTCATCAAAGTCGACAAGATTTTAATAGTTTTTTTTATGCCACGTCGCCAATTTTATGCATCAACAATTCTGTTAACAGATGGAGACAAGTAGAGTGCCTAAACTAAACAAAAGTTAAAGTTCGATGACTAAATTGGAACAAAAATTGTTCAACGATCAAAGTAAAAGAACAATAAGTTGTATCTAACTATGTTTACACGTCTTATTTAGTTATATTCCAGTTTCGGTCTTACCTACATTGACTTGTGTATACAGATTCTTTCCTCGAATGTGCAATGCCATCCGGCCACTTCTGCCTCCACTTTCGGTGTTTGTGACTGCTATTTGTGTTGGTGCTCCAGTTGCTATTAACATAAAATCAGTCATGTCCCCTTTGGGGATATCTGTTTTACTTCTTGTGTTGCATGCCATTTCTCAACATTGATTTCTAGATATGGCCTCTCGGGTGTTTTCTTCCATGATGCACCAGATATAAAAGCTCTACAAAGGACACTGTCATGGGAATTTGACCAAGCCAATTTTAAAATACCACTCTATAAGTCCATAAGTTCACTTGTGTACAGCACATTAAAGACTTATGTTGTGAATCTAGTTGTCTTTCCTTTATATAACTTATTATTCCAAATACCAAACTTCTACTTCTTACACATCTGTTAGAGTTCTAAAAATCAAGGGAATGTGACTGGGGTTCCAATTGTTGAAGAATACGGAGTTCTTTGTTGATCCACATGAGATAAACGAATTCATAACGCTGAGAGTTGTTGCAGGAGCGCGCAATCCATGAAGGCTTTGAAAACTGCAATTGGGAGTTGGTGCAAGAGCACGAAATCCAGGAGAGCGGTGGGAATTGCAGTCAGGAGGTCAGAAAGTACTTGTAGTCGAGTCGGCGGACTGTAAGTTCTAATTCGTTTATAGTGGACTGTTGAATGACAAGTACCCAGAGTTTTTATCAAATTGAAGTTTCTCCGTGATCATATATTTTTTATTTATTACTTTCATATAACTGCGGTATGTCAATATAAGAAAAATTGGACTGTTTGATTAACATTTAGAGATAATTAATAGTGATTTGTTACTAATTAATGATTAAGTTTTAATTCCACATAAACACACATTCACCCCGACTCTAAGTGCAGTTTTGGTCGAACCTCGTTATTTCAATATCTCAAATTTGTCAAACTTTGTCGCGAAGATATTCTTTATTTGAATTACCGCAAGTACACGGTCCGTTTACAAATAGTAAAATTAATTTAGAGTCCAAATATCGTACCTACAAAGATTACTAGTTCAAGTTAATTTAGCCTTAATCAAAACTATTAAAAATTGTGATTTTTCTAAAACTAAATTATGACCACTTAAATTATGTATAAATGCATGACCTAAATTATTTAAAATCAGTGCAAGGTTATAATTTAGTGTGAATTTTATAAAAATATGATGATGAAAAGCGTATTAGGATCTAAAATTCCTTTATATCAATCTCCTTTAACCTTGGAATTTATATATTTGACAACACGATTCAATTATGAAGATTAACATTCCTAATCCTCACTCAAGTAGAATTGAACAGATCATTATATTTGATCATACTATATTTCTATAACGGATGCAAACATACAACAATGAATTAAGAATTTTTGAATACTTAAAAGACCACGTAGAGTATAAGGGTATATTTTTATATCATATATCTAATTTATTTTCAATCTTTCGAATGTAAAATAAGGCACAAAACTTATACAAATATTGTGCATATAATTGTAAATAATATTAAATTCATGTCAATCATTCACTAATTAAAAGCGTGCTTTAAACGTTTAAAAAAATCACGAGTTAAATATTCATGATACAAGGTTCAT